TGAGCTCGCTGGACTTGCCGACCCGGTGGAGGTTGATGAGCCCTAAACCCTCAACCCTAAACTAGGAAACCCTTAGTGAACCCTAGAAATCATCGAACAAATCCTAAAAGAACCCTAGAAACCCTAGACAACCCTAAACCAAGCCTAGAAAGCCCCAGGAAGACCCCAAAGGAACCCTAAACCCTAAACCCTAAACCCTAACCCCTAAAACCTAACCCCTAAATCCTAAACCCCTAAACCCTAAACCCTAACCCTAAACCCTAAACGCTAAACCCTAAACCCCTTTCCAGAGGCATCCGGACGGCAGGGGTCCCACGAGAGGAGGTCTTTGTCAACCTGAAGGTGGCCACAGGGGGGGGGGGGGGGGGGGGGGGGGGTGGGTTAGGGTTTAGGGTTTAGGGTTTAGGGTTTAGGGGTTAGGGGTTAGGGTGTAGGGTGTAGGGTTTAGGGTCTAGGGTTTACAGTAGGGTTTGGGGTTTGGGGTTTGGGGGGGGGGGGGGGGGGGGGAGGGTGGGGGGTGGGCTTTCAAGGCCTTTAAGGGCTTTTGGGGGTTTGGGGGTTTGAGCTTAGGGTTTAGGGGTAGGGGTGGTTTTCAGGGTCTTTAAGGGTCTGTTAAGGGCTTTGAGGGGTTTGGAGGTTAGGGTTTCGGGTTTAGGTTTTTAAGTTAGAGCTTAGGGTTCAGGGTTCGTTTGTTTTGCATATTAAGGGTTTGGAGGTTAAGGGTTTTCGGGATCTTTAAGGTGTTTCTAAGGGCTTGACAGGGTTCTATCGGCGTCTTGTGGGCTTCAGGACTCGTAAAGGGCTTTAAAGGGTTTTAAGGTTTTAAGGCTATTTTAAGGGCTTTAAAGGCTTTTTCAGGGCTTCAAGCGCTTCAAGGCTTCACAGGCTTGGGGTTTAGGGTTTAGGGTTTGGGCCGATGTGGGGCTTGCGGATTCAGAGGGTTCGAGTTCAGAGGGTTTCGAAACTAAACCTTTCATAAACCCCAAACCCTAAACCCCTGAGCCCCTACACCCGAACTTGGCTTTCTTCTGGCTGGCTCTTAGGACTATAACTTTCTGGGTTTTGTAGATACCATAAGGAGCCCAAAAGTTAAACTTTAGGAGGGGCTCAGAAGTCAGCCAAGCGCAGGTACGGTTTAGGGTTTAGGGTTTAGGATTTAGGGTTTAGGGTTTAGGGTTTAGGGTTTAGGTGGCCGCCGACTCTGCCCAAGAGCTGCGGGAGCAGATCGACGCGTCGCTGCGCAAGTGGGGCCCCGCCCTCGGGCCCTAGTTGTTATAAGGGTTTAGGGTTTAGGGTTTAGGGTTTAGGGTTTGGGGTTTAGGGTTTAGGGTTTAGGGTTTAGGGTTTAGGGTTTAGGGTTTAGGGTTTAGGGTTTAGGGTTTAGGGTTTAGGGTTTAGGGTTTAGGGTTTAGCGCGGCTCCAGCGACCTCGTGGATTGGGATTTGGGGTTTAAGGGTCTACTAACTAATTGCTTAAGAACCCAGAATTTTTTTTTGAAAAGAACGAACATGTTCTTCCTTATTAAGGGTAATACAGGGGTTACTATTTTTTTTGAAAAAATCTTTGGGGGTAAGAGCCCAGAAACAAAACATATTCTTCCTTATCAAGGGAAAATAATATGGGGTTAAGGGTTTACTACTAGTTGCTTAAGAACCCAGAAAAAACATGTTCTTCCTTATTAAGGGTAATATAGGGGTCATTGTTTTTTTGTGTTTGTTTTTTTAAATTCTCTTTTGGGGTTCTTAAGCAAGTAGTAGTTTAGGGTAGGGAGTTTTACGGTTTAGGGATGCTAGCGAAGGGAAGTTGCCGGCTCCCAAGTATGATGGTTCCGTTAACTTCTTTAAGGATTCTGAGTTTAGGGTTTAGGGTTTAGGGTTTAGGGTTTAGGGATTAGGGTCCTTGGGTTTTAGAGGCGGGTTTGCAAGAGGTAAGAGGTAGGGTTCCCCAAAAATAGCCCACAGACTAGGGGAGCATGTAAGAACCTAAGACTGTTTATTTGAAAAAGGGAAGGGCCAGCATGGTTGTTTAGGGCTTAGGCTCTGGGTGTGCTATGAGGTGTCTCCTCCAACCAAAATTCGGTTTAGGGTTTAGGGGGTTTAGGGTTTAGGGTTTAGGGTTTAGGGTTTAGGGGTTAGGGTTTAGAACTTTTCATCTTGTGCCAAGTACCCGGCACCGTAGGGGCACTCAAGAAGTCACATGGTCACTTCTCTAAAACATGCTCCCCTTTTTCAGGTACCCTAAGAAGCTAAATATTGGGGGGCCAGTATAATCCCAAAAGGGACCCTAATTGAGAGAGTCCCCCACATCTTTGAAGGAGCTTACCCTGTGCCCCAGCCATTTCTGGCACGTGCCACTGTCATGTCAAGGCATGCCCGGAACACTAAACCCCAAACCCTAAACCTGACCCCTAAATACCCCAAAATACCCCTGTTGCCCCGAAATACCCGTAAATACCCTTGAATACCCCTAAATACCCCTAACCTCCACCCCCCAACCACCCCCCCCCCCCCCCCCTCTCCCGGAACCTTAAACCCTGGACCCTAGACCCCGATCCAAGTCAACAAGCTCCCCCTAGCCCAAACACCTCTCGACTCCTTCATTTAGGGGTAGGGTTTTGCTCCTAGGCGTTCAGGAGGGTGAAAGTGTAAATCCAAAGCCTCTCACACCTGAACACAGCAACCTCCATGGACCCAGAGAAATGCCTATCTAGGGTTTCGGGGTTTAGGGTTTCGGGTTCTCTTCACCCTGCCACCCCCCCCCCCCCCCCCCCCCTTCTCGCTGCCATGGCGCATCGAGCCACGACAGCCCAGGCGTGGGGGCATGAGCTAGGCTCCACAATGGTATTCAGGGTATGGGGATGGAGAATAAACAGCATAAGGCCTGTAAGGGCGTGCAGGCTTCAGGGTCTAGGGCAGTTAAGGCGTATGACAGGGTGGATTAGCTAAGGAGATATGAGGGTTTGAAAGTGTGGAGATGCGCTGCACGCATGGCCATTCCACAATGAGTCAGCCCACATCCAGCAGGGCAGAATCTGCGGTTTTTTGGGGGCTCTAAACCCTAAACCCTAAACCCTAAACCCTAAACCCCAAACCCCAAACCCCAAACCCCAAACCCCAAACCCCAAACCCCAAACCCCAAACCCCAAACCCCAAACCCCAAACCCCAAACCCCAACCCCAAACCCCCAACCCCAAACCCCAAACCCCAAACCCCAAACCCCAAACCCCAAACCCCAAACCCCAAACCCCAAACCCCAAACCCCAAACCCCAAACCCCGAACCCCACCCCCAAACCCCCAACTTCTATCACGTGGAGACATGTTTTTGTTTTACCTCTGCCCTGGCCTCTGCCACGTTTAAGTTAGGGTTGGGTAGGTTTGTGGAGTAGTGGGGTTCAGGGTTTGGGGATTTTAGGGACTATATGGCTCTTAGGGGCTTTAGGGACTTTAGTGACTTTAGGTATTTTCGGGATTTCAGGGATTTTGGCGATTTTACAGGTCTATGCTTTGGCTCGCTTGGCAGCGGCTGAAGACGTGCTGTTCTGCTGGGTCTTATAGGGTGGTTTGGGCCGTTCCCACGGCAGGTGGCTGTGTCGCTGCTTGCAGGCGCAGCCGCGATGGCGGCTACTGGGTTGATGATTCAGCATTCAGGGACAACCAGTATTGCTAGGGATGCTCCCCCATCTACTAACAGTCCTTAATAGGGATTATCGTACCCCTGTTACACTCCCTATTCAGGACTGCTAGTATAGGGGGGACATCGCAACATATTGCGTGCTACGACTATTGCAACATCCTCTGAAGAGCCAACTGGCTGATGCTTGCGTAAGAAGCCCCGCAATTCCCCAAACCTCGTTGAAACCGTTGAAGCACTGTGTATTGATTGAACCCTAAACCCTAAACCCTAAACCCTAAACCCTAAACTCTAAACCCTAAACCCTAAACCCTAAACTCTAAACCCTAAACCCTAAACCCTAACCCTAAACTCTAAACCCTAAACCCTAAACCGTATACCCAAACTGGTCAAGTTGGGTCCCCTTCAACACTCAACTCAAATATCTCTAAACCCCAATCCCTCGACCTTAAACCCTGAAGCCTGAACCCTATACTCTCTTCCCTCTCACCCAGAACCCACGTCCTGCAGGGGTTTAGGGCAACCCCTAACCCTGAACCCTGAAGCCTGAACACTAAACCCTGAACCCTGAACCCTGAACCCTAAACCCTAAACCCTAAACCCTGAACCTTAACCCCAAACCCTAAACCCTAAACCCTAAACCCTAAACCCCGCCTCAGGTTGCGCTCGCTGCTCGGCAGCGGCTGGCCCAGGCGGCGTTTTCTAGAGCGCGAGGCTACTTTTGGATGGGGCTTGGGAGTTGATGTATTTGTGGGTTTAGGGTTTAGGGTTTAGGGTTTAGGGTTTAGGGGGGGTTTAGGGCTTCGGGCTTCGGGCTTCGGGCTCAATATTTTCCAGCAGGCAGGGCTTACGTTTGGCGACTGTGGGGTTTAAACGCATTTGATTCTCGTTGGCAAGCCCCAGGGCTGATTGCGGTTTAGGGTTTAGGGTCTATCGGGTTAGGGTTTAGGGTTTAGGGCTTAGGGTTTAGGGTTTAGGGTTTAGGGTTTAGGGTTTAGGGTTTAGGGTTTAGGGTTTAGGGTTAAGGGTTTATAGCTCAGGGTTTTAGGGTTTAGGAGTTAGGGTTTACCAGGGGATTTTCCTTGGACCCCCAAGGTTGTACCACTGGGCTTGGGGACCCTTTTGCAAAGATCCTGCAAAGGAACATAAGGGGTCAGATCAGGAGTATTGCGGAACCTCTTAGGGGTACATCCTCACTCCTTTCAATAGAAGCCGAAACCCTCGAAGCCTGAAACCCTAGGCTAGGACTCTGACATGGGGTTTAGGGTTCAGGGTTCAGGGTTCCGGGTTTTTAGGGTTTTTTCGGGTTCAGGGTTCAGGGTTTAGGGTAATGTAACACCCTTAGAGTTTCAGACATGTCCGCCGTCAGATGAAGCGTCGCACGTCACCCCTTCCAGCTGGCAGCCGCTTCTCGAAGGAAGCACAGGCACCGCAAGGGTTCGGGGGCCTCCCCGAAAACTGACCGTAGGGTTTAGGGTTTGGGGTTTATAGGGTTTAGGGTTTAGGGTTTGGGGCTTGGGGTTTAGGGTTTAGGGTTTGGGGTTTAGGGTTTAGGGTTCAAGGCTTTAGAGACTTAGGGGGAGGTTCATGGGGACTGGCGTTATAAGTAGGGCAACTCTTGTTGTAAGGGGCTCCAAATCTATGACCTACATAGCCTCCATGAACCTTCAAGCAGGGTTTCGGGGTCAGGGGTTCAGGGGTTTAGGGCTTGAGGGTTCCAGCGCCCGAGGCTTATTGCAGCCTCCCCCCGAGACCCGGCACCTTCAACCCAAAGCCGTAAAATCCAGGGTTTAGGGCTCAGGGTTGTAGCTTTTAGGCTTTTGAATTCCTTCTTGCCTTCCCCATTCTGGTAAGTTGTACGTTCAGGGGTTTACAGTCGGATTTTTTTAATCCCGCCAAAGATGCCGGCCCTAAACCGTAAACCCTGAACCCTGAACCCTAAACCCTTAACCCAAACAACCTAAACCCGGATTCTTCGAATCCTTAAGCCTGAGCTCTAAACCCCTCAAACCCCTTACCCCTTTAAAACATTGGCGGCGACTGAAGTTCCAGAACCGCAACCCTAAACCCTAAAACCCTAAACCCAAACCCTAAACCCTAAACCCTAAACCCTAAACCCTAAACCCTAAACCCTATAAGCCCTAAGCATTAAGCCCTTCGGTGCCTTCGCGCCTGGCTGCGAGCCTGCGCAGCCCAGTCTTTGCAACCGCAATATCCTCTTCACCGCACAGGGGAAGCCCTGGTACCGCCACCCCATGAAGGGGACACCGCACTGCGCAATTCGCATGGAAGATGACTGCTCTTACGGCGGCGCTGCACAATGCAACTATCCACTGCCTGTGCCATTCTGCAATGATACGCATACGCACCACTTGGAGTCAGTGCAAAAACCCTAAACCCTAAACCCTAAACCCCTAAACCCCTAAACCCTAAACCCCTAAACCCCTAAACCCCTAAACCCCTAAACCCCTAAACCCTACACCCCATGGGCCTGCCCAGCATACAGCCCATGAATCCTACATTCTGGTAAGCTATACATTTAGGGGTTTGCAGTAGGTCTGCCTGATCCCACCACAGTGAGTTCAAGGTTCAAGCCATGCCACGCACAACCTCAACCCTAAAACCTAAACACAAACATTCTAAACCCTGAGTCCCTGAATTCTTATAAACCCCTCAAACCCCTTACCCCCTTCAACGTTGGCGGCAACTGAAGTTCCAGAACAGCTTGCCCATAAACCCTAAACCCGAAACCCTAAACCCTTAACCTAAACCCTAAGCCCCAAGCCCCAAGCCCCAAACCCTAAACCCTAAACCCTAAACCCCAAACCCTAAACCCTAAACCCTAAACCCTAAACCCTAAACCCTCGGTCCTTCGGCCTCTGCCCTGAGAGGTGGGAGTGGCGCTGGCTCTTCGGCGCCTCAGCTGCTCAGTCCCAGGGTGGGACGCTTTGCCTTTTTCTGAGGGGTTTAGGGTTTAGGGTTTAGGGTTTAGGGTTTAGGGTTTTGGGTTTAGGGTTTAGGGTTTAGGGTTTAGGGTTTAGGGTTTAGGGTTTAGGGTTTGGAGTTACCCTTCTGAATCCCTGTGCACCACCCGTTCTTAATATTTAACCCTAGGCTCCTCTGCCAAAACCCCTGGTGGCGGTAGTCCCGCACTAGCCACACCCTCAACCCTAAACCCCAAACCGAAACCGCCTTGATGGGAGGGGGGCTAACACAACTTTTGGCCCAAACTTTTGAAGGCCAATTGAACAGTTGGGGCTTAAACCGTCTACCCACCCCATTAATCCAACAATGCCCTCAATCATTCCCGTGCGTTGGTCTGAATCGCCCTAGCCCTAACAACTAAGCCCCTGATACCTAAACCCAAACCCGGAACCCTACACCCTAAGCCCTTAAGCCCTTTAGCCCTTTAGCCCTTTAGCCCTTTAGCCCTTAAGCCCTTAAGAGCTTCAGCGCTTAAGCGCTTAAGCGCTTAAGCGCTTAAGCGCTTAAGCCCTCAAAACCTAAACCCTAAAACCCAAAAGCTCACTGTCCTGGCAAGTTCGGTTCCTGAACCTATGCCTTGCTAAGATGCGGCGAAGCAATGCGGCGATGTCTCCAGAAGAAGGTGGGGTTTGGGACCCAGAGGGTCCATTTGTAGTACTGTTTTTTATAGAATTAAGTACCAAAAACCATACCAAATCGGTTTTTGGGGTACCTAAGTCCATAATGGTACTACGAATGGACCCTCTGGGGGAGGTTTGGAGGGCGCTTTCGCGGGGTGTGGGTAGTACGTAGGCTTTCGTTGCTCAGGGTGGATGTCTACAGCGCTTTGCGTGTAGCCTGGGGGGTGTGGCAGGCTTCGGAGTTTAGATTTTTTTTGGGCGGGAATGTTTTTTTCCGTGGAAGCCCAGTGGTAGCTTTTTTTGGCTGAAGGTTCCCTAAGAAAGCAGCCAAAGCAAAAACGGGCACCCTTATTGCAATATGATTACTGGGCTGCCAAGTAGGGTGAAGGGTTTGGAAGTTGGACTGTCACACACCCCTCTCAGCCCCAATCCGTAAACCCCAAACCCTACACCCTAAACCCGAAACCCTAACCCCTAAACCCTAAACCCTAAGCCCTAAGCCCTAAACCCTAAACCCTAAACCCTAAACCCTAACCCCTCCCCCCAAGTCATGTCGACTTTCTCTCAAAGAGCTCCCCTACTTGGAGGTTCAGTGTGCTTACCCAAGTATAGAGGGTTTAGGGTTTGGGGTTTGGGGTTTAGGGTTGCTGTACTTACTGTTTGGGGTTTAGGGTTGCTGTACTTATAACACAATTATAACCCTACGAGGGTAAATAGGTGGCTTATAAGTGGGTTATAAGTACAGTTATAATTTGGGGTATTACGTACCAGGAACCTCCAAGTAAGGACCCTAAACCCTACACCCTAAACCCTGAACCCTGAACCCTAAACCCTAAACCCTAAGGCTAGTAAGTACCATGAACCTCCCTTATTACGCCTCCTAAGGTGCACTGGAAGGATGATTCGAGCATCGACCCGGTCACGGCCACCGACCGTGACAACGAGCAGCTAGTGGGTGAAGGCTGCATCGGTTTAGGGTTTAGGGTTTTTTCGGGGGCTGCGAAGGTTAATTATTTTAAAATTATAAACTATTATTGTTATTATTTTTCTAACATTATTATCATGATGATTATTATTAGTATTATCAGTACTATTCTTATTCTTATTCTTATTCTTATTCTTATTATTGTCATGTTTTTTTTTGGGGGGGGGGGTTGTTAGTACTTGCTGGTGCTCCTTGTTTCTTGATGTTTTAGGTTCAGGGGTTTGGGCTGACTCAAGGTTGCCCGAGCCTTGCTTGCGACTCACTTTTTGAAGACAGTCCTTAATAGGGATTCTAGGACTGTTAGTATAAGGGGGAACATCCCAAGGTTTAGGGTTGAGGGGTTTTAAGTAGGTATCGCTCATGACACTGTAGGCAAAGACCCCAGCGCGTTCTCGCTACGTGGGGCTTACCCTAGGGTCCATGTACCTATATAGTATATACTTGGGCCCTAAAGCTACTAACCCCTTTGATGCCTAAGTATAGCAGGTACATGGACCCTTTGGGCTTAGCGCTCAGTGGTAGACCTTGTTACTCAGGTGAGTTGTAGAGACATCCTCTGGCCATCCAATGGCAACCCCCTGCAACTCTCAAAGCCGCTCAAACCCTGATCCCTCAACCCTAAACCCTAAACCCTAACCCCTCAACCCTCAAACCCTGCACGGAAGGCCTGAAGGCCGCTTTTCCTACGCACGTGGTGATGGGTGAGGAGGCCGGAGAGCCAGAGGGCTGGACTTTCCTACATCCCCCCTGGGGGTTTTTGTCGTTTTTGTTTATACAGAAGCCAAGAGGGGATTAATAAGCGTACTTTTGTTTTGTTTATATAAAAGTTTATAAAAGCCAAGAGGGGATTAGGAATACTATTCTTTATTTTTGTTTATATAAAAGCCACGAGGGGCTGAACAGTTTCTTTGTAGTTTTGTTTATACAATGAAAGCCAAGAGGGTATTAACAATACTATGTTTCATAAGGTTCTAAGGGGGGGGGTATAGTTTCACTTAGTGCATGCGGTTCAAGGTTTGGGTTCTGGTTTCGGGTTCAGGGGTCTCACTCTGCAAACTCGAAATCCTATGAGTCGTTCAGCCCCAAGCCCTGAACCCAGAGCCGGGGGGGGGGGGGGGGGGGGGGGGGGGGGGGGGGGGGGGGGCCTTAGGCCAGGGATGTTCCCCTTTACACCAACCGTCCTTAAGAGGGATTATAATAGGGGGGTTAACCCTAAACCCCCCTAAACCCTAAACCCTAAACCCTAAACCCTAAACCCTAAACCCTAAACCCTCCTTGTTCACTTAGGCCCAAGACCTCAGAGTATGGACGTGGCCTGCATCTGGAAGCTTTTTCGGCCCAAGCCACCTACTCTCTGCTTGCAATTTGGGGTTTAGGGTTCCGGATTATCGGGTTTGCGCCCGAAAAGGCCCTAAGCCCTAAATCCTAACTCATGCCACATGAAAAGTTGATGATTTGTGGAGCTGCTGAAGTCAGCCCAATGCAGCAAGACTCGCGCAAAAATCAGAATCGTGTTGTCTGAACGAAACCTGAAGCCCCAAACCCTCCAAGCACCAAACGCTTAACCAGACAGCCCTAACAACAAAACCCTAAACCCAAGAAACCGTTAGCCCTAACCCCTAGACCCTAAAGCCCCACAAGCCCAAAACACCCAAATTCCGAGAAAGCCAAATGCCAAACCCAAAAGTCCTACAAGAACCCTGAAGCTCCCAAATTCAAGAAAAGCCCTTAAACCCCTAAAGCCCTCAAACCCCTGAACCCTGAAACCCTCAAACCCCTAAACCCTAAACCCTAACCCTAAACCCTAAACCCTAAACCCTAAACGCTAAACCCTAAACCCTAAACCCTAAACCCTAAACTCTAAACCCTAAACCCCGCAGGCCTCAGCGGCCCTGGGCTCCATCCCCGAGCTCACGGCCACTGGGCGCGGTCGGAGACTTTTCTAGGGTTTAGGGTTTGGGGTTTAGGGTTTAGGGTTTAGGGTTTAGGGTTTGGGGGTTGCTAGGACCCAGAGCAGGCTCTTATTCCCCTTTTTTAGCGTAGAACCCCCCTTTGAAATTACAAAGAACGGGTACCCTTTGTTCCCTAGTTTGCTCTTGGGTCGAATTTTAGTTTCTTGGGGTTCAGGGTTTGTGGTGTAGAGTGTTTGGGTTTTTAGGGTTGAGGGCTTGGTGTTTACATGTGCGGTTTCGGGTTGAGGGGTTGAAAGGGTTTTTAGGGCATTTTAGGGCTAAGGGTTTAGTGTTTTAGGGGTGTCGCATTTTAGGGTTTAGGGTTTCGGGGTGTTCAGGCATTTTTAGGGCTTTTAGGAGTTTGCTGTTGAGCATAGTCCTTACATGTGTTGATTCTATGTGTAAGGGATTGAGGGTGGAAAGGTTTAGGTGTTGTAGGCTTCAAGCTAGGGGGCCTTTGAGGCTTTGCGACAAAAAGGTGTTTCTGGCATTAGGCTTTCGGGTAAGTAAAGACCCTAACACCTACTTGACCCCAAACCCCAGCCCTAAACCAAAAACCCTACAAACCCCAAATCCCGAACACCTTAAACCCTAAACCCTGGACCACCTTAGGGAACCAACCATTTGAGGGCGCCACCCGCCAAGGACGTACCGACCTGGATTGTGGCTCCTGGGTCGCGATTGGCAATTGGGGGGTTTGAGGTTCAACCCTAAACTCCATACCCTTAACCCTAAACCCTAAAACCTAAACCCTAAACCCTAAACCCTATAACCCTTAACCCTAAACCCTAAAACCTAAACCCTAAACCCTTAACCCTAAGCCGCAGGTTGCAGTGTTTAGGGCTCATTGTGAAGCTCCTTTCCTAGGACCCAGAGTGGGCCCCTTAGCATTCCCTTAGTGGCACCTTTACATATGTAAAAAGGGTGCACAGTCATTCCTAGGCTACTCTGGGATCCCAGATCTTTAGGGTTTGCGGCATCGGGCCTATATGGTTTAGAGGTTGGGGACTTGGGTGTACAAGAAGGTGTGCCCTTGTATGAGTTTGTATACGTGGCTTTCTAGGCTCGCTCGGTTGTTAGCCGGGGAGGCGGGGGGGGGGAGGAGCCTCCCTGTATAGCCACATCTCAAACCTAAGCCCCAAATCCTCAACCATAAGCCCCAAACCCTAATTGGAGGTTCATGGTACTTCTATCCTTCATAACTGCACTTACAACCCACTCAATATGCCCTTTAAGTGCCCTAATGGTTGGGTTGTACGTGCAGTTATAATTGGATCATTAAGTACCATGAACCTCCAAGTAAGCCTCTAAGCCCCCAGCCCTGGACCCTAAACCCTTATAAACCCTAAACCCTAAACCCCAAACCCCAAACCCTAAACCCTAAACCCTAAACCCTAAACCCTAAACCCCAAACCCTAAACCCTAAACCCTAAACCCTAAACCAACCCTAAACCCAAGAAGGTGTCCGGCTCGAAGCATCCCAATCTCTGAACCCAGAGTTGGAAGCCCCAGCCTTGGGGCTTTGTGGGTTGAGTATCCTTCAGTGGCCAAACCCTAAACCCTAAACCCTAAACCCTAAACCCTAAACCCTAAACCCTAAACCCTAAACCCTAAACCCTAAACCCTAAACCCTAAACCCTAAACCTTAGGGAAGGAACCTGCGAGTCTTCAAGGATCCTATTGATGGCACCACCAACTTCGTCTATGGGATCAAGTTGAGCTGCGCTTCTTGGCCGCAAGTCTTGCAGGGTTGAGGGTTTATAGGGTTTAGGGCTACGGGTTTAGGCTCAGGGCTCAGGGTTTAGGGTTTAGGGTTTAGGGTTTAGGGTTTAGAGAGTTTAGGGTTTTAGGGTTAACGCTGTGTCGACCTTATCTCTGGAATGTACTGCAGATGTGCGGAGAGGTGCAACCTTGGTTCACGGTGAGCATCTATTTCTTGCAGATTGACATGAAACCAGGGTTTATATTACTGTTCTTGGTGAGTGTTTTGGGGGGGGTACAAGAAATATATACCCTACTTGGAGGTTCATGGTACTTACTAATGAATTATAACTGTAACTTATAACTGTACTTATTATCATGTTAGGGCACTCGGGGGGGCTTATACGTGGGTTATAAGTACAGGTATAATTGGTTCATACGTACCATGAACCTCCAAGTACTTCACAGCAGCTCCGCACTTTTTACACTCCACTGCGATTTTCAGTTGCGGGTAAGGATAGTAGGTAGGCCCCTAGGGATATTTTCTATTTTCCCATATTGTGTTTAAGAGGCTCATCTTGGCTTTCTTCTGGCTGGCTCTTAGGACTTTAACTTTTTGGGTTTTTGTAGAAACTACAAAAAGGAGCCTAAAAGCTAAGCTTTTCGGAGGGGTTCAGAAGTCAGCCAAGTCATATTCAGGAATATTTTCAGAGGCTTCCCTGAATCTCTGAATCGATCGGCGTTGAGCCTGAACCCAAGATCTTCAACCCTAATCCCGACTACGAGTTTAGGGTTTAGGGTTTAGTAGTTTAGGAAACGGTTTAGGGTGTAGGGCCCTAACCTGAAGCCCAGAAACTTAGCCCAGAGCCAATGCCAAAGTCGAGGTTAGTCTCGGCTTTTGTGTGGGCTGCGGCCTCAGCATGAGCACGAACACTAGCCAGTCAGCGAAGTGTACGTACGGGCTTCGGGTTTGCAGGCTTAGTATTAGGGGTTGGGGAGAAATTTAGCTCGCAGCATAAGCCATGCGTGCTTGTCGACGTAATGTTACAAGGTAACATGGGTCACGAAGACACGACGAGGGCACAGCATCACAACAGAAAGCAACGAAAGCAAGCCGCTAAGCAGTATCATACGGGCTGATCTCTACATCGCAGTCCTTTGAGGTGGAGCCTCCCCATGTTGGCGTTTACGAACTAGGGGATGCCTAAGATAGCCACCCCAAACAGTAGGATTCCCTTTTAATAATGACCCCAAGAAGGTACCCCTGATTGAGGAAACCCCATGTCAGCGTTCAGTCGCAACCAACGTTGCACGGTCACTCTTCGCGCGCGTATGTGCATCATCCTACTTGTATAAACTTTGCAACAGTCCGTGTGTGAAGCTCCATGGATGCAACATTGCAACACGAATTCGCTGTCTCTCCAGTCCGAGATTGCAAGCCCTAAACCTTAAACCCTACACCCTAAACCCTACACTCAAAAACCCTGAGCCCAGACAGGAACCTCAAGAAAAAGCCATCAGTTCCCCGCCATAACGCCCCAAACACCCATTTGAACGGACAAACCCGAAACCCCAAACCCGAAACCCTAAGGGCTTGCATGGTCGCAGCATGAGCCCCATCTTTGTGGAACAAGCTTCATCTGGCAAGACTCTCACCTTCAGAGATTAGGACCCAGCGCTAGCCTTTCTCCATTGTTTCTCGGTTTAGGGTTTAGGGTCTAGGATTTAGGGTTTAGGAAGTTCCGACACCATGGAACCAAAAAAAGAGACTTCCAAGGTCCAAAGGTTACGGGGCACATAGAAGCCCAACCACAAGGTGTTGTGGGGGTTGGGGTTTGGGGTTTAGGGTTTAGGGTTTAGGGTTTAGGGTTTAGGGTTTAGGGTTTAGGGTTTAGGGTTTAGGGTGGTGGGGGGGGGGGGGGGGGGTGTGTGGCGGGGAGTGTAGGAGTGAATAGATGACGGGGAGGGGATACGCTCTAAAGCCCACTCATACTTAGACACGAATTCCGGGAGTGTCTGTTGTTGAGAGGGCCACCTGACCGATTCTAGCCCCCCCAACCCCCTAAGCCCGAAATCCTAAAACCCTCGGCCCTAAACCCTAAAACCCCTTAAGCCCCAACATCCTAAACCCCCAAGCCCCAAAACCCTAAAGCCCAAACCCGCCCGCCCCCCCAAATCCCTAAACCCTAAATCCCTAAATCCTGAACCCTAAACCCCCAAAGCCCCAAAATCCTAAAGCCCAAAACCTGCCCCAAATCCCTAAACCCGACAATAGGCCGTCGGCCGGTGGTTGGCGTTGTGCGGCCTGGCTGAAGGAGGTTAGGGTTCAGGGTTTAGGGTATATGTATATATGTATATATACACATAATATATATATATATACACATAATATATATATATATATGTATATGTATATGTACGCATTAAAAGCCTCCTGTGCTTCTGAGCGGATATGTCGGTCATCATCATGTGTGGGTCCATCAAAGGTTTGCCTGACGGGCTTTGTAGTCATCAGTTGGGTGGGTTGAACTTTCCTTTCGCGGCTGGGTCATGTTGTGTTGGCCCTCTCAGCTCTATAGACAAAGCAACCCTAAGGCGAAGCGTGAGGGTATAGGTTTTAGGGTCTTGGGTTTAGGGTTTGGGGTTTACAGGGTTTGGTGATGTAGCACCTTGAGGCGGTTTCAGGCTGTTACCAGAAAGCTTGATGCACGGGACGATGACGACACCTTTACTTTGCTTTGTGGTCGCTTCTCGAATTTGAGGTACCTTTGGGGTGCGTTGTAGCCGTCTTGAACAGAATTTGGGTTTTGGGGTTTAGGGTTGAGGGTTTAGGGTTACCCTAAACCCTATACCCTAAACCCTGAACCCTAAACCCTAAACCCTACATAGGGGTGAGTTACAGTGTAGGGGCTGGCCGTGCCGGCGGCCCCAAGGATCCGCGAAGACCTCCCGGGAGCCTCCCTAAGGCTTCCGATGCCGACAATATTGAATTTGGGTTTTGGGGCTTTGGGTTTCGGGTTTAGGGTTTAGGGTTTAGGGGGGCCTTGATAATTCGAATAGGGTGTTGGGGGGTTTTTTGTAGGATAGTTATCAAGGGACCACATAAGGGAATACCACTAGTACTTACTGCGACCCGTATTTGAGGTGCCTGAGGACCTACACCCCTAAACCCTAAACCCTAAACCCTAAACCCTAAACCCTAAACCCTAAACCCTAAACCCTAAACCCTAAACCCTAAACCCTAAACCCTAAACCCAAACCCTAAACCTTACCCCTAAACTCTAAACCCTGGAGCAGAGACCCGCCGGGCTAGGTATGATCCCTACGCTGACGAGCTCTTCGTGGCAGCCGAGGGCGAAGGTCACGGGTGGGCCTTCTCCAGCTTGGGTAGCCCTTGGGGTCCATGTACCTGATTATTATATACTTGGGCCCCAAAGTCCCAAAAGAGGAGGTACTTTAAGGCCCAAGTATTCCCTATTTGGGTACCTGGACCCATGGGGTAGAGGGGTTAGGGCTCAGAGGGCTTAGGGTTTAGGCATCAGGGTTCAGGGAGTAGGGTTTAGGGTTCAGGGTTTTGTGGTTTAGGGTTCTGAAGGGGTTATGAATGGTTTGCGGGGTTTAGGTTTACGAAGGGGACAATGCGGCCCCCTCGCATCCCTCAATTACTAGACATATGCAACCCGCAGCCCCGCCGTTATACGGAGTCTTTTGGATCTGCCCTTTCATGGGTAATGTTATGCAGCGTTAAAAGTACCCTAAGCAAGGTTATAACTAGAAGAGTTACATGTAACGCCCCTCAACCCTCAACCCTCAACCCTAAACCCTAACCCCTGCTCCTAACCACCCAGAAATATGAGATGGGCATCTGCCTCAGGGAGTGCGGTTTCGGGCTTACGGAGTTTTCCTGGTACCCCAAACCCCACACATGCGTCAGATACTGCCCCCCCCCCCCCACATGTACAGTAAACCCCACAAAGTTGGAAACCTTTGTAAGGACAAATAGTGCTGGGATTCCCTACACTTTGCTCTTAGGGATTGAGGCTATTGAGTTTCCAACTTTTTGGCTTCTACTATAGATAAAGTTTGGTTACAGTCATCTTAAGGCCTTATTATGACTTATGAAGGACTGTTACAGGGGGGGGGGGGGGGGGGGGGCGGCAGTACGCAACATATGCGCGGGCTATAGAAAACAAAGGGTGGATTCGCCCCAACCCTAAACCCCAAAGCCTAAACCCTAAACCCTAAGACCTTGTGAAAACCCTAAACCCTAAACCCTAATACCCTAAATCGCAGCCATCGAGGATCCAGGGTTCCCTGCGCTGACTAAAATTGTCCAAAAAGCGCGGCCATGGAATCTTCGGAGGCCTTCAAAGTCCTGCAGGCCGAGGTGGGCGGGCTTCCGAAAATATCCTGTAGGTCCTATAGGGGTGCTTATAAGGGAGGGTTTGGGGTTTAAGGTTTAGGTTTAGGGTTTAGGGTTTAGGGTTTAGGGATCAGGGTTTAGGGTTTAGGGTTGTTCATGGGGGGTAGGTACCTAGGGAACCTTAGGGAGCCTTAGGGAGTAGTGGGGAGTATTTGGAACCGTGGGTTACATACCCCTTGAACCCCGCTGCCTTAAACTCCCAAGAGCCGATATGAACCCCGATAAACCCCTCTAAAAACCTGTATGAACCCCGATAAGCTGCTATAGACCCCTATAAACCCCCATAAGCCCTGTATAAACCCGTAAACACACCTATAATGACCCTGTAAACGCTATGACCCCCTATGAACCCTATGAACCCTATGAACCCTATGAACCCTATGAACCCTATGAACCCTATGAACCCTATGAACCCTATGAACCCTATGAACCCTATGAACCCTATGAACCCTATGAACCCTATGAACCCTATGAACCCTATGAACCCTATGAACCCTATGAACCCTATGAGCCCTAAACCCTAAATCCCAAACCCCTGTGTTGGGAAATGCCGAGGTGGCCTCCCTCAGGGAGCGCCTTGACATCGTGGTCTCGAAGGTGGGTTATTAAGTGTAGGGGTTTCGGTTCCTATAGCCCTTAACCCTAAACCTATATACAGGGTTCAGGGTTCAGGGTTTAGGGTTTAGGGTTTAGGGTTTAGGGTTTAGGGTTTAGGGCTTAGGGAGGTAGTCGGTTCTCCTTAAAGCTGTTGGGGGGGTATTTGGGAAGTTCTGTGGCTGTGTTTGGGTCGCGAGGTTTCGTCTAACACTTGGAACCACAAGGGTGCTGCCCCATCTATCTTTGTGGTTCTTTACTGTAACTTTAGGTCCTTAGCCTTTTTGGGTTTTTTGGGTTTCTTTAAGAAGGCAGCTAAAAAAATAGTTTATAGCTGCCCTGCTAAGTGCAGCCAAGCTATGATTGGTCAAAGCAGGGTTTGGGGCTTCAGGCTTTTGCGGGCTTCTTCGTGCTTTCCCTGAAAGGCCATCTACAGCCCCTGAATAGTCAGCCCAAGATGCAAAGCCTCCAAGCCCTAAGAACCCAAAAAGTCCCAAACAAAACCCAAACCAAAAAAAAAAAAGTCTAAAGGAAACCCTAAACCCTCAACCCTAAACACTCAACCCTAAACCCTAAACCCGGTGCAGCAACCCTGGTAACACTGACGACCCCGAACCGCAGGTGTCCGTGCTCGGCCGAACGCAGGAGCTGTGCCAGCAACTCGAGGGGGAAGCCCACTTACAGCTGGCGCGCCTGCATAGCGAGGGCCGCACCTTGATAGCCTTCAGATGACCAACAAGTAGGGTTTAGGGTTTAGGGTTTCGGGTTTAGGGTTTAGGGTTTAGGGTTTTTAGGGTTTTTAGGGTTTTTAGGGTTTCGGGTATAGGGTTTAGGGTTATAGGGCTTGGGGCATTTCAAGGGAGGACTCGGGGTGGATGTCTTTAAGGTATCTTACAGGGGTATATGTCGGAGATTCCCTGAACTTCACCTATTCATCCTATGCCCTTAGGGGTCTAGGCTTTAGGGTTTATAGGGTTTATAGGGTTTATGGGGCTTATGGGGTTTATAGGGTTTATAGGGTTTATAGGGTTTATAGGGTTTACAGGGTTTATAGGGTTTATAGGGTTTATGGGGTTTATAGGGTTTATAGGGTTTATAGGGTTTATAGGGTTTATAGGATTTAGGGTTAGGGCGTTTCCGGCCCATACTGTATCGCCAAGGGTCCGGGTACCCAAATAGGGAATACTAGGGCCTTAAAGTACCTCCTCTTTTGGGACTTTGGGGCCCAAGTATATAAACATGAGGTACATGGATCCTTAGGGTATGTACTTTTATGGTTCACGGGTTGGTTGGAATGGGCAATCTTTCCCAGTCTTTCAAGGTACGTCTAAACCCTAAACCCTCACCCGGACTCACCCCCAAACCATAAACTAAACCCTAAACCCTAAAGCCTAAACCCTTAACCCTAAACCCTAAACCCTACACTCCCAAGGACCCACTGCCGAAACCTCGCCGGCCTCGGCGCACGGCGTGGACTCGCCGCTGCTGGCGCTGCTGCACGTGGCGATGGGCCTGCTCCTCGAGGTCCACAGCGGGTGGCCTGGTTCGCTTTGTCGGATGTGTTGCTTGATTTTGTTTAGTTTTTAGGGTTTAATTAGGGTTTAGGGTTTAGGGTTTAGGGTTTAGGGTTTAGGGGTTTAGGGTTTAGTTGAAGGCCAACCCAGGTGGTCCAAAGATGTCCACCGGCTCGCCTCACCCACCTCACCACTGTCGCTAAATTGCAACTTAAAACTTTTTGGGTATTCCTCCTTTTCTTAGGGTTTAGGGTTTAGGGTTTAGGGTTTAGGGTTTAGGGTTTAGGGTTTAGGGTTTAGGGTTTAGGGAGACTGAGCCCTAAGGTCCATGTACAGACGGCGTACTTGGGCCATACAGTGCCTCCTATTTGGGGAATCTACAGGGTGGGGCCCCCTAGTTATAAGTAGAGTTATAAGGGCCCTAAATTGGGTTATAAGGACCCTAAGTTAGGTTATAAGTCCCTTAACTACAGTTAGTATAGTAAGGGGGCCCCACCCTGTAGGGCCCAGGTACAGAATATTGAGGTACATGGACCCTTAGGGTCTTGTAGGAACACACTACGGCTTGACCTTCGTGATTCCTTCTTGTTCTTGGACAAGCAAGGTCACCAAATCACCAGTACTACCCACTGCCACTTAGCAGCTGAGTGAGCACACTTTACGCTTTTTGGGGGATACTCTTCAAAAGCTGAAAGTGTGCACTTTTTTGAGGTGCTTATGAACTCAGCAACCAAGGTCACCACATAGCCACCATGGCCGGAGCCCGGCGCAGCCGGAGCTCTTTCAACCGCTCGTCCCAGAGGTGGCGTCGGTCCCCATCCACTCGGTCTTTCCACAGCTGTCGGATTCCGGGAGGAGTGTCCGAGAGGCTTGGGGGACTGAGGGTTTAGGGTTAGAATGGTTTAGGGTAGTTTAGGGTTTAGGGTCCAGGGTTAGAAGTGTTCACCCCTAAACCCTAAACCCTACACCCTTAAACCCTTAAACCCTAAACCCGAAGCCCTAAAGTTTATAAGGGTTTCGGGTTGCTCCGGGAGGCGGAGGCACAGCTGTCGAACACACTGGAAGTGGGTGGCCGTGCCTTGGGGCAGGGGACCTGGGCCACCGCCTACCGGCAGGCTCTTTGGGTCGAGGTTGAGGGCCTAAACCCAGACCCTAAACCCTAAACCCTAAACCCTAAACCCTAAACCCTTGACCCTAAACCCAACTTTGGGTCGAGGTTGAGGGCTTTTTAAGGTTCTGGGTTGGCCCTTGGGGAGGTTTCTGTATCTGAGACCTGTTTTCCCACCTTTTTTTTTGTTTTTTTTTTGTTTTTTTTTTTTTTTTTTGGGGGGGGTGGTTTGGACCAAAAGGGTACCCTTCTTAATCCTGGTTTACTCTTGAGTCTAGGTACAGTTCCTTGAATCCTTAGAAATCCCATATGCCTTAGTCACCCTGTGGAACCCGAAACGTCCTGACCCTAAACCCGAAACCCTAAACCCTAGGAACCGTCTCCACTTGGAGGTTCATGGCACCTACTAACCAAGTAGAACTGTACTTATAATCCTACTTATAATTGGGATAGCCCCTATAAGGCCCTTTAGGGGTATTATAAGTAGGGTTGTAAGTTCAGTTACAATTGGTTAATAAGTACCATGAACCTCCAAGCAGGCCACGGGCCAAAGGAAGCAGGCGCTGCGCCTGCTCTGCGAGCTGGGCATCGTCACCCAGCGGGAGCTCTCTGACGACTTGACGCAGGCTCGAGTATCCTACTATTTGCACCCTAAACCCTAAACCCTCAACCCTAAACCCTCAACCCAAATCTTCCTTATAAGGGCAATACAGGGATTTTGTTTATTTATTTATTTTTTTTTTTTTGGGGGGGGGGGGGGGGGCGGGCGGGGGGGGGGGGGGGGGGGGGGGGGGGGGGGGGGCGGGGGGGGGGGGGGGGGGCGGGGGGGGAGGGGGTTCTTAAGCGCATAGTAGTATCTGGGCTTGTCTTAACTGGAATTGGCCTCTAACCCCTAAGCCTTACAGCCTAGCCCGATTTGGTAGCTTGGGCAGCTGATGTCATACACACCTCGACCTTGGGCATTCGTGTGAGGCGTACGCAAGGGTCATCATGTCTATCCATTTCATCTTATGGTAAACACACCTACAGTAGCATGTTCTGGTAAAGCGCATTCTGCTACGTAAGGCTCAGAGATGCCAAATTAAGGAATGACAAATTCAAGCCTAAACGCCAAATCCTAACCCTACCTGGAGGTTCAGGGTACTTAATAACCCAATTATAAATGTACCAATAACCCAATTCTAACCCCACTAGGGCACTTCTGAGTGCAGTTCGCATTGGGTTATAAGTACCCTGAACCTCCAAGTAGACGCCGGTTTAGGGTTTAGGGTTTAGGGTTTAGGGTTTAGGGTTTAGGGTTTAGGGTTTAGGGTTTAGGGTTTAGGGTTTAGGGCCGACAGCCCTCCCCCATCCCAGGTCTGCGCGGAGCACGTGGAGGACTGCGTGCAAATTGCCGAGGAGATCCTGAGGCATTGGCCCCCAGAGACCCGGCAGGCGCTATTTGGACCATTTTTCTGCTTTCTGTTATGGGGGTTTTCGAAGTTCGGGGTACCTTCTTGGGGTCCTGATGAGTAAGGGAATCCTACTATTTGGGGGGTCTAGTTTTAGGGGTACCCCATTTTCGTAAGCCGCCTTATTGAGGTAAGAGGACAATTCGTTTTGCCTCTAAACCCTATAAGCCACACACCCTACTTGGAGTCAGTATTTTACTTAGGGCCCAATTCAATTATAAGTACATTGCTTAGAACCCACTCGGAAGCCTTTCAAGTGGCCCTAATATGATGACAACACAGTTCCATTTGAGATTAAACTTAGGGTTTAGGGTTTAGGGTTTAGGGTCTTGGAGGGCTAATTTTTCAGCGCGCTTCAAGCGTCAACCTAGGCAGAGGGGCAGCCGCCACAGGAAGCAGCTCGCATGTACTTTCAGGACCGCCTGAAGGCCATGTGTCTTGGCCGTGCTACTCACTTCCTTCATGGATTTTTTTGATCGTTAAAAAGCTATTTAGGGACAAGTAAGCCTAATCAAGGGTTTGTTAAGGGGGGAACCTACGAGTAGTCTTCGCTAGTTCGTCTTGGTACCCCAGTGGCACCCTGTACCCTTTTTTGGGGGTTTGGGTTCCCTTCTAAAGTAACCAACCCCAAAACGGGGTATTACCATGTGGCTACTGGACTACCAAGCAGTGGAAGTGTTCATGTATGCAAGATCCTTCTAAGAAGCCGACGCGGGTGGGCATGCTGTTTGGCAGAGGTGTGTGTGTGTGTGTGGGTAAGGCACCCACCTACCAAAAGACCCATAACGTGGGAAAAGACGGTTTCGACCCAAGTGAAACCCTTAAAGCCCGTACCTGCTCCCTAAACCCTAAACCCTAAACCCTAAACCCCAAACCCCAAACCCTAAACCCTAAACCCTAAACCCTAAACCCTAAACCCTAAACCCTAAACCCTAAACCCAAGGTATATGCAGAAGGCTCCCTACATGCCATCGTGAGTGGAGCCGTATTCTGATCACCTGCGCGCTGAATCCGGCTCTGCGCGTCCATGATGCCTTCAAAAGTACTCTGGTAAGGGTTTAGGGTTTAGGGTTTAGGGTTCAGGGTTTAGGGTTCAGGGTTTAGGGTTCAGGGTTTAGGGTTTAGGGTTTAGGGTTTAGGGTTTAGGGTTCAGGGTTTAGGGTTCAGGCTTCAGGGTTTAGGGTTTAGGGTTTAGGGTTAGGTACTCTGGAAGGGTTTAAGGTTTAGGGTTCAGGGTGTAGGGTACGCATAGTTAGATAAAGCTGAGGTGAAGGGAAATCCTATCTATCCGGAGCAGGGTCCAACAGCCTAGAAAGCCTGGAACCCCAACACCCCTAACATCCAGTAACCAGGTCGGCGGACGGATTTTGAGCTGCTCCATACCGCGAGCACTCTCACCCTAAACTCTAAACCCTAAATAACCCTAAACCTGAACCCTAAACCCTGAACATTTATTTTTCATCCTAAACGAAGCCGTTTAAACCGCAACGCCCCGTCAAGTCCAACTCCCCCTCCGCGCCCCTCAAATTGGCCCCCAGCTTGATACAGGGTTGATTTAACAGGGTTTAGGATGTAGGGTTTAGGGTTTAGTGTTCAGGGGTTTGGCCTTTTTAGCGCCGGCTTTGCCCTTACTGAGGGTTTACGGGATCAGAATTTAGGTTTTAGGCTTGAGGAAAAACACGGAGAGACACAAAGCGTTGATGGGATTCAGGGTCTAAACCCTAAACCCTAAACCCTGAACCCTGAAAGCTGAACCCGACGAATTCAAGACCTCGACCTTGTGTTGCCTCCCTACCACCAAAATCAACTCTGAAAATCAAAACCCCCCTAAGCCCTGCTGCAGGGACAGGCGGCCCTCCAAGGTTTAGGGCTTTGGGTTTAGGGTAGGGTTTAGGGTTTAATGTTGCACCCTGTTTAGTATTGGCCCCCTCTTTAAAGACAAACTGGCCGAATTATTCAGGACACGCTGACTGTTTGGGAGTCCCTCTTTAAAGACAAATCGTCCGGGCGCCGTAAGAAAATTCCATGTGGCGCGCCTTTAAAAAAGATAACCGGGCATCGCTGCCCCTTTTGAACCTATCTAAACTCCTCCCAATTAAAATCATATGAGCCCCGGGGGCCGTGTAATCAGGCTCCCATCCACGCCTCGACTGTTCAGGGGGGGGGGGGGGGGCCCCCACACTAAACAGGGTGCAACATTAGGGTTTAGGGTTTAGGGTTTAGGGTTTAGGGTTTAGGGTTTAGAGCCCTAAGCCCTGAACGGAGCGATTGCAGGCGCCTATCTCAACGGCGAGCGGATTCAGGCCGACAGCCCTTAACTTAAATGCCAATCCCGGAACCCTACTTGGGCTCTATACACCCTGTAAACGAAGCTCGAAACCCTAAACCCCTAAACCCCCAGGGCCCTGTGTAAACTCTAAAGCCCAAAGCCTAAGCAGAGCTCTGAACACTACACTCTCCACCCTTTCTCACCCCCCAAACCCTAATTATACCCTGAACCTTGAAACCCTAAACTAAGCCCTGTACTCTGAACCCTGAAGCCCTAGATGCTAAACCTGCAAGACGGCTGGATTGTACTTGGAGGTTTCAGGGACACCAACAACCCAACTACCTTTCTGTACGTAGCACCCACCGTTAGGCTCTTGAAGCCCTAAACCCCAAACCCCAAACCCTAAACCCTAAACCCTAAACCCCAAACCCTAAACCCCAAACCCTAAACCCTAAACCCTAAACCTGCTAATATGGGTTAAGGTCGGGTTGTACTTGGGTTAGGAAGTACCATGAAGTAAACCCTACACCCTAAACCCTAAACCCTAAACCCTAAACCCTAAACCCTAAACCCTAAACCCTAAACCCCTCCAAGCAGGGCGTTTGCAAGCCCTGGAGGCCCAGAGCTCCTAGGGTTGAGGGTTTTGGGTTTAAGGGTTTTAGGGTTTTAGGGTTTAGGGTTTAGGGTTTAGGGTTTACGGTTTTTAGGGTGTAGGGTTTAGGGTTCCTGCGCAGGGATGACACGCACAAATCGAGAAGTGTACCATCCCTGCCACGTCAAGTACATTCGCCTTCGCGACACCTACTCCTTGTGTGTCGCTATTGGCGTTTAGGTTTTGCCAGATGTTTAAGTTACACGCAATGCGCACTTCACTAGCTTAGGTTTAGGGCTTGTAGGGTTTAGGGTTTAGGGTTTAGGGTTTATAGGGTTTGAGGCCCAAAGCTCCTAGTGTTTAGGGTTTAGGGTTTATTGGGTTTGAGACCCGAAGCTCCCAGGGTTTAGGGTTTATGGGCTTCAGGGTTTAGGGTTTAAGGTTTAGGGTTTGGGTTTTTTGGTTTGGGGCTTAGGGTTTGGGATTTAGGGCATGTCCCTGAATTCAGGGGTATTGGGCTCTCTGGGTGCGCGTGAGAGGTGGGCTCGATCACCAAGTGGCTGCGCTGCAACTGGTTTTTTTGAGAGCTTTAGGCAATATAGGGTTTGGGGTTTGGGGCTTAGGGCTTACAGTAGGGCTTAGGGCTTCGGGCTTACGGCTGAGGGCTTCGATACGATCCCCGAGGAGGGCCGAGGGCTGGGGTCCAGGTCTAGGGCTTAGTGACTGTAGCCTACCCAAACTAGATGGCCCAAGAGACTGGGTTTTGGAGTTTTGGAGTACTATACCTTAAAGCTTTTTTGGTTCTATTAAAGCTACCTATACCTAAAAAGTATATACCTTTTCTGCCAGGGTCTCGGGTGGGTGGGCGCCTGTGGGGTATAGGCCTCCCATCGACAGCCAAAAAAGACCCAAAGCAACAAACAACAGTAAAACAGCAAACGAAACACAAGCAAACCCCCCCCCCCCCGCTCGTCGCATTTCACGATGCTATCGAGTCTAGTCTGCCAGCTTCACGGCTTCTGCGCCATTTCACAGCAAACCCTAGACCCCAAACCCTGACCCTAAACCCTAAGCCCTGCAAACCCTAAACCCTAAACCCTAAACCCTCCTCAACCCCCCCAAACCCCCCTAAACCCCCGAAACCCCCCTAAAACCCCCTAAGCCCCCCTTAGCCCCCCTAAGCCCCCCTTAGCCCCCCTTAACCCCACTAAACCCCACTAAACCCTAAACCCTGCACCCTAAACCCTAAACCCGAAACCCTAAACCCTAAACCCGAAACCCTAAACCCTAAACCCTAAACCCTAAGGCCCCGGTCAACGCGAACGCCTGAGGTTGAGGGAGGCGATGGCGCTCTTCGAGCTGGGCTACGAGCGATCCGAGGAGGGGTTTAGGGGTTTAGGGTTTAGGGGTCTAGGGGTTTAGGGGTGTAGGGGTGTAGGGGTGTAGGGGTGCAGGGGCTTAGGCTTTAGGGTTTAGGGAGAAAGCTTTCTGTGAGGTTTAGGGTTGAGGGTTCAAGTTTTCGGATTTAGGGGTTTAGGGTTTGGGGTTTTGAGGGTTTGCGGCCCGTTACAGATCCCTCGCTTCCAGCCAAGAGCCTTGAGATCTCCTTCCTCATCACAGGTTTGGGAAGGTCTTAGATGTGCAGATACGGCTTCCTAGGACAAGTTATGTGTATGTAGGATACGCCTATCTAGGTAAGTTTTTGGGGTTTAGGGTGTCTCCTAAACCCTAAACCCTAAACCCTCAACCCTAAGCCCTCAACCCCAAACCCCAAACCCCAAACCCCAAACCCCAAACCCTAAACCCTAAGCCCCAAACCCCAAACCCCAAACCCTAAACCCCAAACCCCAAACCCTAAACCCTAAGCCCCAAACCCCAAACCCCAAACCCTAAACCCTAGCCTACGATCTCCCTTTTGCCAGGAGGGGGTGGCCAAGATGCTTGGGGGCCTCCGCTCGATGATGCTGGGTGGCGTGCGGGCAACGCGCACGATTGGTGCCCTGGGTTTAGGGTTTAGGGTTTAGGGTTTAGGGTTTAGGGTTTAAGGTTTAGGGGTTTAGGGGTTTAGGGGGTTTAGGGGTTTAGTTGTTTAGGGGTTTAGGGGTTTAGGGGTTTAGGGCTTAGGGAAGCCCAACAAGGGTTTCGGGCTCTGGGCTAAGTCATCGGAACCTGAAGACCTCAGCCACACGAGCATTGGTAGTTCTGCCCAGGATGGCAGGCGCATTTGTTGAACTGTAAAGGCTTCAAGGAGGCATCTCAGTTGCCCTTCAAGCACACCCGAGCTGGAACTAACAAGGCCGTACCCCCAAACCCTAAGGCCAAACGCCCAAACCCTTTTTTATGGTAGTTGATCAAAATACATGTCCCCAAGTAGCCATTCGAGGTAGCACTCCCCCCTTTCGAAACGATATCCCCTCTTGAAGGGACTCTTGCCTCCTTACCTCAATGCTCCCTCCCGTGAAAGGGTTGGTTTCGGGTTCAGGGTTTAGGGTTCATAGAAGTGGTCCAGATGCGATTCTTCCTATCCCTCGGACTCCCAGTGGTATCCCTTTTTTCCCCGCCGAAAGCCCTCTACCCTAAATGCTGTGTTTTGGGCCCTCAACCTTTAACCCTCAACCTTTTTGGGGGACTACATCACTGTAAGCCCACAGGGGCCGCCTCTGGGTACGTTAAAGTGAAGCTTCACTCAAAAGTAGCAGGGTATGGCTGGGGGGGGGGGTTGTAGTGTGTAGGGACCAGGGAGGGTTCAACGCTTACCTGGGATCTCTTTTGTCTACTGGTTTAGGGGTGTTGTCCCATATTTAGGGCGTTGGCAACCTACTACCCTAAACCCTGAACCCTGAACCCTAAACCCTGAACCCTGAACCCTAAACCCTAGCCCCTAAACCCTAAACCCTAAACCCTAAACCCTAGACCCTAGACCCTAGACCCTAAACCCTGCACCCTAAACCCTACACCCTAAACCCTAAACCCTAAACCCTAAACTCTAAACCCTAAACCCTAAACCCTAAACCCTAAACCCTAAACCCTAAACCCTAAACCCTAAACCCTAAACCCTACCTACTATTTGTCAAGGGCAGGGTCTAGGGGTTGGTATTAAGGTTTACGGTTTACAG